CCAGGGAAAAAATAAAAAAGTCGGGTTATTATAGTTTCTTTTTCTTACTTTTTGGTGTTTTTTATTCAAAAATAAAAAATGATTCGAGTTTGATTCAAAATGAACTATCAAAGAACAAAAATGGCCCGGATTTTTACGTGTTTTCGGTGTATTATAACAGTGTTTCAAATTTGTGTTTATTCAAAAAACAAATATACTATTATATTAACTATATATATAGTTTAATGATTTAAACTATATTTTTAACTTGTAATAGTTTATCAAAACCCAATTTCTAAAAATAGTTCAAATTTTCACAAGACAAATTCTATAATATAGTAATGTATAGTAAAAATATTCAAAGATTTGCTTATTTTCTAGACAAATGTTTATTTTTTGATCAAAATATTTTCTTATATATCTATAATACGCACGAGTCAAAATCAATTACGTTTTCGTGGAGATGCTATATTAAAGCTCGGTTGTGTGTATAATACAACTATTTTAAAAATAAGTTCAAAAACAATAAAAAAGTCAAGATATGTCTTTTTGACACATATCTTTTTTTATTAAGTTGTAAATAAAAACAAAAATTTTGATATGCAAACGAATTTACATCAACAGTACTATAATGTATCACTGCGTTATATCATACTGTAACATTATACAAAGAAGTTACAGAATGTGTTTTTTATCGTATCAATCATTATCAATTATAATAAAAAATTATTATATTTCTAATATTTGTTTTTTTACAAATTAAAAAAATATTTAACCTTAGGAAGAGAAATCTCGATATTTTATATCAAGATTGAATATTTATTTTTAAATCGCTTTTTTATAAATTAAAAAAAATAAAAATAAAAAACAACAAAAAACAAAATGGAAAAAGAAAAAATGGAGGAGTCAGAAAGTTGTGATAGTGACAATGTTTTAAGCGACGAAAATTACGAAGAAAATTATCAGGAAGAAGTTGTCGATAAACATGAAAATTGTGTTAATCCAAACTGTCAATTGTGTTGGAAAAATGTCAAGTTTACAGAAGACGACGTCAATTCTATATTTTTAACATGATAAAAGTGGCAACATGAAATCAACAACAATAATAAACACGGAACTTGACTGCTTTATATATTTGTTTGATAATGAATGCTTCGAGTTAATCAACAAAAACACATATTTGTATGCTAATCAGAAAAGAACTAGAAAATGGTATCCCATTGATGTCAACGAAATGAAAGCTTTTATTCATGTGGCAATAAAACAGTGTGCAAATAATGATAATAAAAAACCAATTCAAAAGAAGCTTCACCCTTTTACCTCGCTATTTTTCTGGATATTGTCACGATTGCAAAGAAAAAAAACAACTGCCTGTTGTGACATTTGTAGCGCAACCTTACCCACTTGGTCGTGTGGTGATTACAATCGCGTTTTATGTGGTGAATGCTTGAAAAGATAGCTTGATTTTATTGTTATTCATTTTGTTTTTTTTTATTTTTTACAAAAGGATCTGGATAGAAAATATCCAGTTTTCCCTTTCCAGCAAAAAAAATTGGCAAAAACGAATGACTTTCTAAGGTTAACTTAAATTAAATAATTTTAATAAAAATATTCATAAAAACACCACCAACAAACTATACATATTATTATAATTATATTAATATAAACTATTAAAATGACTCAAGTTGTTGAAAAATTAAATGGGTTTTATATCCACCATTATTTTTTTTTCTCAAAAAACTTTTATGAAAACTTAAAATTAAGATAAACAAGTTCAAATATTCAAACTCAACACAAACAACAGAGATGTGTTTGTGTTGAGTTGTTGCGGATCCCCATTACCGTTTGGCAATTTTATTTATTTATTTAAACACAGTGCATATAAATTAACAATTAGATAATGCAAATTACGCGCGACTTATGTTTGTTTGTTTTTTATGTTATTTTTTATGTTTAAGTAAATGAAAAATACAATTTATTAACTATTAGAAATGGGTTTAAAGTGGATATAAATTATTGATTACTAATTAGTATTTTTATGGTTAATAAACTGAATAACAATCTATAGTTTAGATACTATATTAAACTAATCAGTAATTAATTGTTTAAAGGATGTATTAGGAAGTGAACCTTATATCATATTTTTTAATCCAAACATTTTATGAATTATATTAAAATTAAACTAAAAATATGTTCAAAAGCTAATTTATCACTTCATTAGAAATATTAGGATAATATATATTAATTTTTAATTTCCTAATAATTTATATTTGTTATTTAAGGTTGATTTCATGTAGTTTTTATATTGTATTTTAATTATAAGAACATTCTTAATTAACCAAAAAACTGAGACTGAACCTTTTTTCATTCAACAGCTTTTCAAATAAGAAAAAAGAAAATGGGTGCGGGTTTTTCTCCAGGTGTGGGTTTCTCTCCTCACTTTACGTTATTTTTTCGAATAGTTTTGTAATTTTTGAACATCATTTCTTAAAAACGCAGTTTGCACACCTTTAAAGTGTTAATTTAGTTAATATTTACAATTAACACAATTAAAATAAAAAGCATATATTATAAAATTTAAATATCATGTAACATTTTGAAAGTGTTGTGTAAGGGGACTTAGCACAACGGTAGTGCATTATCAACCAATATCCAGTTTCTAGATAAAAGATGTTGGGTTCAACTCCCATAGTCTCCATTTTTATTTTTTAAATTTTTTAAATATTTAATAAGTTTTAATAATAGATATGGAACAATATATAGCCGGATTCAACAATCGAAATAAAAAAACCGTCCTATTTTTTTATCTTATTTTCAATTTTTAAAAACATCAAAAAACTTGTTTTATAAACAACTATAAAATGTTTTATTTTTAATTGTTGTACACAAAATTAAAGTACAATTATAGTTAATTAAATCAATTTGAATGTATAGACCATTATTTATTTTTTGACATTCCAACAAAAGCGATTCGAAAGAATCCACGAGGTTATTTACAAAACGGATTGGTATTAAGTTTTACGCCTTTTGTGCTTTATATAATACACTTCTTGTTTTATCAAAAAGGTTAATATCAAACATTTCTTCATTATCCTTACACGTTTTTATTGGGATTTAAATCTGGACTGCTGCCTGGCCAGTCTTGAAGAAATAAAAAAAAATATTTACTTCGAAGAACTTACGAGTTGATTTGGCATTACGACAAGGAGCATGATCTTGAACAAATTGATAAATTTGCATTCTTTTTTACTTGATCCATCAGAAGATTGTCAGTAAGCATTTTGATAATCATTTGAGTTCATGTTATGCGGACATTTTATTAACCAACTCTTATAATTGTCACCATTTATCCCAAAAGCCATCACGCTTGCGAATTTCTTTAGATAAAAAGAAATGTATTTTTTGTTTATACACCCCTTTTTCTTCATATTGAACTGATTTTATCTGACACCATTTTTTTACAAATCATATCTTTGTTAATTTAAAATTAATTAATTTTAATATTCTATTAAACAATAAAAGATACGGTTTTATTACAATTACATTTAAGGATTTTTAATAATAAACTATTAAATTACTACGTTATTTTTTTAACTTCAAAATTTAACAAGTTAACTTATAAGTGTTTTTGTTGTATATTTACATATATTTTAATTATGACAATTATGTTTTAAAAATAAGAAATAATAATTGTAATTTTTTGTCTTCAAAAAACCTACCGAATTATAAATAAGCTCGGGGGAAAAATATTTTTTGATAAATAATTTTAATTCAAGACTACATAAGAAATATCTTCGTCTTAACTTTTTTGATCAAAAAATCGGATTATTTAAAAACTTGGTTATTTTATGTTTAATTAATAATGGAACATTTATCAGTCCGTTTTTTGAATTTGACTAAACATGACTTAAAATAATTTATTTAATAAAATTTTGCTAAAAATATAGTTATTTTTTAAATAAACTCCATGTGATCAGTGATTTTTTGAATATAACTTCTACGTTTATTTAATGTGAAATATTAGATGTAAATCGACTCTTTCAAAATGTGTAAGTTAAAATTTTTCGTCTTTTTTACAAATAAAAATATTGGTACATCTTACAATTGTAAATTATTATTGTATTCTAACTCGGTTATTTTTTCAAATTGACTAAATCACACAAGAAGTTTCAAATTTGATATTTGTTTATAATAGATTTAATAAATAACAAGCTTTTTTAATGATAACTATGTTTTGTGAATTTACTTAAATAATGTTTTATATTCATTTTTGTGATAAACCCGTTGATAAAAATTGTTACATACAAGATTTTGATTATTGAATTGTGTTGTAAAAAAACATTTAACCGAACAATTTTATTAATAATTAACAATGACACATTTTTATGTTTACCAAATTTTATTTTCAATTCAAAAAACAAACAATTTATCATTATAATATGAATTCTATTGTAATATTTTTTTATAATATATTATTATAATCAAAAAATAATTCAAAACACTCCTCGAAAACAATCTTTTTATAAAAACGTAAATTTTTTGTCTTTTGTCTTTACATCCAATTTTTTAGTGCCCATTTATAAATGGATCAAAGTGATTGGGCGTCAAAACACCAAATTCTGAACATTAATAGTTTTACACTTTTTATGCTTAGAACAAATAAGCCAATAACAGTTTGCAATATTAAAATGATATTAGATATTGTTTTTATAAGATAATAAATGTGAATA